GAGAGAGAGAGAGAGCAAACCGGAAATATAATTCAGGTGGAAGTGGGCATGAACACTGTCGCTCCTGCAGTAAGCAGTTGGATCTCCTTTGGCAAAAGGATGATGCGGAAGTCAGGAAGGTGAGATCTTCTAGAAACCACAGCAGCGACAGATAGATAGACGGGGGAGACGGAAAGTACTCGTTTAAGGGAAAGGCCGGAGAAGTATAGTTGATGGGAGCCGAAGACGAGATCTTTGGAGAAGGAGCGGTTTTTGTTACTTGATCAGGTCACTTCTCTCTCCGCTAGCGGATGCTGCTAGAGAACACGAGAGGCTCTGAGAGTGGTAGATCTCATGCTTATGATCTCAGAGGGAGGGAGTTCAGAAGGTAGAAGATACTATGACTGGCCCGAAAGGGTGGGGGGGGCGGGGATATGAGAGTGAAAGGGAGGGGTTGGCAGCAGTGGGGTGGAAGATGATGGTGACAGGGGGCAATGTGTGTGTGTGTGAAGGACAGTGAAATAGCTATTGGGTTCAATGAATGGAGCGTCCTTTTCGAGATGACAATTAGTAGCTTTAATCAAAACTCTACTCTTTCACGAGTACTTCCTACGATTAAGGAACCCTAAGCTTGTCTGGGCCGTTCTTTGCTGTCAACATTCTTGTATTATCCTCATGCAATAGCTTAACTCATTAAATATAACCAAATATTTGCGATACTCGAATTTATTAGTATTTTATTATATAAATTATAAGTTTCATGTTCGAAATAAAATGTTTTTCTTATTTTATTAGAAAGGATAGAATGGTGTTGAATTATTGTTTATGAATCCAAACATGCCTTATTATCCATTTGATTTGAGTATAAGACAAACTTATCATCTTTATTATCTCCTATTTTTATTCTAATGGCTCATGAGATCTATTTTTTTAATAAGATAAGAACTAATTATCAATATATTTAATGAATGATATGTTGGGGCTATCTAATAGCCCAATACTCATTCCTATGGTTTGTTAATATTAAAAAAATAATTATATAATATAAAATAAAAATAAAAAGTGATATAATAAATTTGATCTTCAAATCAGTTTTGACATTATTGTCAACAAAAAATATATATAAACCTTCATGATTCATCCATCTCGTTTCTAACATTTCTTCTCCTCTTCATCTGTTTTTTTTTCTATCATTGTCTTCCTCAATATCTTAGATGTAATTAATTTGATTATACTTATATCTTATATCATCATCTACCATTTTCTTCCCCCACCCCCCCCCCCCTTCCCTTTTTTTTATGGATCATTCATTGTATTAATTCTTCCGATCTTATTCTCTCTCATCAAAACTACATAATACCACCACTATATTCTCCTACCACAAACACACATCTCTTCCTCAGTTTATCAACACATTATCATCAAAGCTATTCATTATTATGTTTGACGAATTTTTAGGGTGTTTTATTTATTTATTATTTCATAAGTAATTGTAATTAACTAGCCTTTTATTATCTTTCAAAAAAAAAAATTTAAGGTACCTCCACCCACAAGGGGGCATGTGGTTGGCCCACAACTACCATAGTCTTTTCAATGGCTAAAGCTTATTTAATAGGGATAAGAGTTTGAGACATTAGTTATTATATTTTTTAAAAAATATAATAAAATAATCTAAATAAAAAATAATAAATCATCATTGTTGGATATATGATATAATAAAGAATTCATATGACTCTCGATGTCATATATTTAATGTAATCCTACTCTTTTTAAAAGATCTTGAGACTGACTATGAAAAGGATATGACAATGTACATTCACGGACTTCTTGTTATTGTTGTTATTGTTGTTCTTATAATTTATTACTAGTACCAAAAAAATAGTACAATGCACAAGGTAATATGTGTTCAAATAACTAAATATTTAAATATGTATATATATTTTTTAAAATATGTTAGATAATTATAGTTTATTCAAAAAAATTATGAACTTATAGATTGTTAACAAAATAATATTACTTTAAAAAATTATTTATTCGTATTTGTACTCTTTGTGACCATCTGAATGACAAGTTAGTACCAAATTAATTTATCAAGCATTAAAAAGAGTTACATGGATTAAGATGGAGCTATGATATGCTCTAAAGAGCCTCATTGTGGAATATAGTTTTACAATAGTTAAAGCGATCAAAACAACCATCTCTCTCTCTCTCTCTCTCTCTCTCTCTCTAGTACATCCAGTACTCAACTGAAACATCCCAAGAAAAGAGAAAAGCAATAATAGGTTAAAGCTGTAGAACAACATTGTCCAGGACATGTTCAACCTTAGAATGATGATAAAAACATATTTATTCGGATAATAGTGAAAGGCATATCCCATACTTGATCCTACATACACACAATTTGATTGAACTTATAGGGAGACTTGTTTGTTAAAACTAAATCAAGTCCTGAATTATCAATAAAAACTATAAATTCAAGTAGAGAAAAAAAATACACCTACTCTATTTATGCACCAAAAAATTATACATGTACTCAATTTGCTCTTATAAATATTATTATAGCATATATTACCTTATTAAACATATGTCTAGTTTTTTTTTTTTCTTTTACCATATTATATGTCTCTAGAAAATTAAGTGACGAAGATGGAATTGGATCTAACAAGAGTCAATGATCTTTTAATGTCTCAATTTTATGAGTATGTCCAATTCAATAAATTTTTTTTAAGATTATTAAGTTTTTTTTTTGTTTTTGACAAACTCGGTATATATCATCCAAACTCCTAAATTTTTACCAATATCGAACTATTTCTCTTTTTAATATTTTTTCATCACATGAATATTTATTAATATCATTTTCTATTCATATGTGCAGCTCAATCTATCTCCCTTTTTTATTTATAAGAGTAGGTCGAAACTATTTTGTTCAACTGATTATGGCCAACATTATTTATTTATTTATTTTACTCTGAACATTTTGTTTTGTTTTGAAATCATGTCAAAAATTAATGAGTTTGAATGGAACTAATCATGATTAACACATATCAATTTAAAAATTAATTCATCTAATAAAGTGAAACCTTTGAATTAAATGTTTGATGTAATATTACTCATCGATTTCTAATAATATGGACTATTTTTTGGTGCTCTTTTTTTATCTGTGTATTTCCACAACAGTGATTTTTGTGCAAAAGCCATCGAAATTTCGGTTTGCACAATTGTGGTTCACATGAGTCAAAATCGGTAAAATCTTTTCGACTATATATAATGCATACTGGGATGGATGGATGGATGCATCTTTAAGACATCGCCAAATTGATTGATGATTCGCATGATGGTGACATACATAACCCCATCGCTCCCTTTCCTTCCATGCTCTAAGCTGCGCGACGTTCGATCAACCCACAGTGCCCGGCCGACCGAGCATGATGTTGCGAATGCTGGCCCCGCCCCCATTCCGTCTCCATCGCTGCCTCCTCCATGTCATGTCCCGTGTGTGTTTGTTGGCGTGCTTACGTCGGAACAGTAGTGTGGTGCTGTTCTTCTCCTCATCAAGTACAGCAGCACCAGAAGGTGGAAGGCAGAAGGGAGGGGGGAGAGAGAGAGAGATGTAGAGAAGAAGAGATACATGAAGAAGAAGAAGAAGAAGACTCTGCCCACCACAGCGTTGAATGAGGGTGGGAGAAGGGGACGAACAGCGAGAGCCGCTTCATCGCCCGAACAAATAAACGGAAGAGCAGCAGCAGCAAGGGTTCTTCTGTCACTTCTCCCGGCTTCCACCCACAGCAGCAGCACAGGAGGCAGAATAAGTAACGATCATGACCTTCGACTCGGATAGATACCATACTAAAGCGGCCATTAATCTGCTGAGCGAGCGACGGAATCAGGCCCTCCATGTGAGGCTTGATGGAGATGGTTGTTTGCAGCTGTAGTTAAGTGTCAATGTTACGATACTCTTCTTCCTTTGCACTGTAGTGCGAGCGGGTAGGCTCAACCAAAATCTGCACGTTCCAAGTGTTCAGATAGAAACAATGCGACGAGGAAAGGCGACAACAGGTATTCGAATTTGTTAGCACAAATCCTGGACGTCAACTCAAAATCCGTCGGTGCAAGATTTGCGATTGTCAACCCAATTTGATAAAGTTTGATTCGATCTCTTTATTATTATTGTTATTATTATTATTATTATTATTATTATTATTATTATTATTATTATTATTATTATTATTATTATTATTTCGTCTTAATCTTATTGCATTTGAGACTTGGATGATGTTAAGTATAGATGCTAGTTATCCGATAGGTAGAGTGAGTTTGAAGTTAACCAATGTTCAATTTTGAGTTTATCTCAGGCCCCAGGAATCTCGAAGTTGGAAATTCGGATGACCCTACAAAAATAGTGTCAGGGGAATATATCCGATAAAGATTGCTTAAATTAGTATAGAATTTAAAGTATTTAGTAAAATAATAAACTGGTTTCCTCTAAAGAGAAACATTTTTATAGCCATTTGAGATAACTATTACATTAAGATTACTATAAATATTTATCAAGAATGATTGCACAAATTGTTTGGCAATCAATGGATCATAACATCGCATCGAACCGTCCAGTCTATGATTGCATGGTAATGACTCACCTAAATCTTGGCGTTGTCTACTATTGGTGTCGAATCAACATCCCATCGATCCCATGTCATTGATCTCGTGGGATCATGTGTAAGCATAAAATTGTAATCATGTCATTATATAGAATAGATTTAGTGTCAAAATCTAACATCAAATAATAATATATCGATATGTATTTTTCGATTTGATGCCATCCAAAAGTCTTTTTATTTAATTCGTTGAACACAGTAATATCGATCTAAAAAAGAATTAGATTCGTCTTCTTCTCTCTTTCTATCATTCATAAGATCATTATAAATGATAGACTAGGTGATAAAGAAAGATGAGAATATATGTAATTCCTAGAGGTTCTTATTTATTTATAAGCAAATGCAGATGATCTAAAATAAATAATTAAGAGAATCTCTCTTATCAAGATCTTCTTTCATTTTCTGAAGTAAATACCTAATACTATCACCTATGTTGATTCGTTAAATTTTCATTAGATATAACTTTACAATTCTTACAATATCTAATACCTTTTAAGTGAGAAAAATATTTATTTGACTATAGTTATGGCCATTCTTATAAGTAATTAAATGTTCATCTTTCATCTTAAAGTGATTATTTATAATAATAAGAATATACGAAGTTGTATAATCCAAAATCATATCACTATCTTTATTTTTTTTATATAATTAAAGTTCTCATGCATCCTTTTATATTTATTATATGTTGATCATTCAAATCTCATTTAATTATAAGTTTTTTTTGTTATAGACATTCCTTGAATTGTATCATATAAGTTTTTCTAAAATTTTCTTTTGGTTTGATCATTCAATTCGACTCAGGGGTATAAGCACTAATGACATTAAAACATCTTATCATTATATATGTTTTAGAACTATAATTTTATTTTAAAATCTTTTTACATCTTTAGTATTATTTTTAAGCACCTTATCAATAGCAATTTTGTGTTTTACCAAATTTTAAATTTAATACTATCAATTTTTTCTAATCCGCGTAGTCGCTTATAAGTAAATAATAATAATTATTATTCTAATCATAATGTCTATCCATTCTAATATCTTTCATTAAAGTATTCATATATTTCGTATTGCTAACTTGACATTTTATTGTTAGACTAACTTATTTGCTATTATCGGTCCAAAATAATGAGTGCACATTTAATTACTTGGCACCACATTTAGAAACTGAAATCGGTCCAAAATGATGAGCCACTTTCGAGTAATCTCGGTAAAGCATCACTTGCGAGTGATGACGTAGCTTTATATTGAAATCGGTTAAGATCTATATTCATAAGATCTAACATAGTTTTACATAGATTGTAAGTGGCCTGAAATAACCCTTCACCTTTCTCGTTTAGGTTTAAGATTGATATTACGGGTATTTATATTTTTTATTTATTAGATTTTATATGATGAATCCTAATTAAACCGATCAAATCTACATCGGAAAAGTGGGTAATCGTTTGTTCAACAGGGATCTTCAGTCCAAAATTTATGCTGATATCTATTTTGATATATGTTAGACTGGTCAAATGCTTAGACGCAAATGGGAGACCAAAACATAACAAGGCCTGGTTGAGACGCAATCCAACTCGCCACGTATTAGACAGGTGACATCCATGAAAGCAGGAGACCAAAAACAGAAGAGAGAGCCTGGTCGATGTCGGATCCCTTAACTTTGGAGCCAACTCATAAACTTGTTAGTTGGGATGATGCCAAGTTTGGGCTACCAAAAGTCCGATTGGGCTTCCAAGATTTATATGTGAGCTATATTTATATAGTCCAACTTAAATGGGAATCGAATTAAATGGGTTGTCCCACAAAGAGAGTTAACAAGGAACTTTACTGGAATCACTCACTCTTCTAGCAATACTGTAAGCAGAGCTTCTCAGACACTGAACACGGTGGACATCCAACATTTACACATCCCCTCTAGAACAGGAGCTGATCTCTACTCCCTTGAAACCTCAGACACCCTACACTTGCAATGCCTCCTCCCATGGCATCGAGGTCCTGCAGGCTCATATCCAGCAGCATCTCGTAGTCATCCCCACCACATCTCGAGCCCACTCCCATCACCATCGTCCTACCGCTGCCCAACTCCCGAGGGAAGTCCACAAGGCTGCCACGCAATACTGCCCAATTGAGGACGGTGTTTGAACCGTTGTCTTCCTGTCTCTCCTGCGTCGTCATCATCTGTTCCTGCCACTCCTCGGCAACGCCACTCTCAGGCAGAGGAAGAGGAGGTGAAGACTCCTCGGTCTCCATGCTGTAAACCACTGGACTCTTTTTCTTCTTCCGGAATACTCGGCACAGTACCCAGTCTTCCTGCAGTTTGTTCAGGTCAGTGACTGATAGTTGTTTATGATGCCGAGGGGAAGAGAAGCCGGATGAATACCTTGGGAGGTGTATGTGGAGCTTCCAGTCGGAACTCATGCATGACCCAGTCGGACTTCACCCCATTGGGAGCTCTTCCACTGTAGAAGACTAAGGTCTTCCTCATCCCCATGACGAAGGTGCGCGTCGTGGGTGCATATACACTACGGTCTTTGCCTGTGGCCTTCCAGTAACCCGACCTGGTTGCTCGATTCATGCGTAATCCCGTGGCGTATTTCCGGTCCCGAAAGCTGAAGAAGTACCACTCGTCCCTGCTGAGTTTAGCCACCTCTGACCACATCGAAGTGTAGATCTGTAATCAGTGTCCACAGAAGTGCACCAAATAGCTGGAATCATGTGGAGCGGGGGAGGGGAGGAGGAGGAGGAGGAGAGAAGCAGATATCGACCTGGAAGTTCCCATGGCTCACGAGTGTGCAGATCCACCTCCACCATTGTGCCGCCGCCTGAAACACTTTCATTAGCTACCTTCTTGAAGAGGTAGTAGCAGACGAGTTCCTCGTCGCTCGGGCAGAACCTAAACCCTGGTGGGAGGGTGGACTCGATGTCCCTTAGATCCATAAATCTTTGCTGCACCAGAGAATATAGTCAGAAAGACACACAAAGAGGAGGATGGGGAACCGAGACACGGATACATATTTATATAGCACGAGGAGAAGGCCATGAGCAGTGTAGTTGGTGAGACCGTCAAGCTGTCTCTACTGTTTCAGAGGTGTCGTCGCCGTCACCTGGGAGGCAGCAAGGGTCCTCATGCTGAACTGGAGAAGAATATCTCCTCCAATGAGCGGTGGGATACCGACGCGATCCAGTATTCTAATGTTGCCGTTAACCATGTCAGGGTTCAGGCGTAGACGAAGGGGAAGGTGACTTGGCGGCAGTGTGCAGTCGCCATGTCCAAGGAACGTGGCGCCCACCTCAGTGGGCAAGACAACCTGTACATTCGCCATCCATGCAAACCTCTTGGATCTCGAGCAACTAAATCTCAGGAAATAGAGTTTTCAGGACGCTCAGATAAGCTGACGACCCACCATCGAGTTGATCCGAGAAGAAGACATGCACGTGAATGCAGTTCACATGAGGAACTAATGAAACTTTCTCCTTTCTTTCACTCTTCTTCCTCTCGAGATGTTGACGATTTCATTCTGTTTGTTGCAGCTAAACATCAATGTGCTGTATGATCGGGAATCATGGCGAAGTCTGCTGTCTGTAGATGTTGTAGGAAGAGTGACGCCTCCACACTCTTCTTTCTTCCGGCAATCAACCTTCCTCAAATCAACGAAAGATACCCTTCCATGGATGACACACAGCACCTCTGCTGCGACGTTGTCATTTACTTGGGCAGCCTAATCATTCAGGATTCCGATCATTGTGCTTCGGTATATGCTATGGGCAACTGTAGTCCTCTTATCTACACTGCTTCAGGATGACAATTATGAGCCACCACCCATCTATGTCATTATCATCACACTAGTACAAATAAACAAACAATAAAAGAAGGAAAGATGGCATAATGTTGAAAGGAAAGTGACTCTGCTGATAGAACATCGAATCTAACAAAACTTTGTCCCCGATGCCGCGGTTGAGGCTCAGGGAATCTTGCGTTATCTTAGCGAGGATACATTGACATGCACAGTGTGGCATGTAAAAGTAAATGCACGAATGGTAGAGTGATCCCCAGAAGTGACATACGTCAATTTTGATGGACTTAAACGTATGGTAAGAGATACGCCCTCCTTTCACGTGATGGTTTACTGCTTCCTTACAGTGTTGGCAGCGGCTTAGCTTGACATTGACCTTGACTTTGACGATGACAAGCCGTAATTAAAATGCAGATGCCAAGTCGAACGACAAGTAGATAGCAACGAGGACATGTGACAGATAGATAGATAGATAGCCAGCGTGGAAAGGAGGGAGATCGCTGTCTGCAAGTTTTGCGCAGGACAGTGGGAATGACAAGATTCTCCCAAGCATTTCCATGGCAACATGAATGATCAGAAGCATGCAAGTGCAGTTTGGAGCGTCGTAGGGACAGTGCTTCTTCACGCATCATGTTGGATGGTGGCAGCCCCGAGTACATGAAAAAGTGTTTTTTTTTTTTTTTTTTGAAGAATCCACACGAAATTGCTTTTATTATATGTTTAAACTTTTATATATATATATAATACGGCTTACATGATTTAAAATGTGTCATTTGCCTCTTTATTAGATATTGACTATTTGGTTCTCCAATTCGACTATCGATATTGGATTAAATATAATTGATAATAATCTTTAAAATTAAAAAAATAATATAATATATTATTTAAAAATAATAATTATTTATGTGTAAATTAATTTATCTCGTGACATGGGGTGGTCAGCCTTTGATCAGAAAACCAATCATCTAAACAAAACAATCATATGATCCTTTTGGCACACACTCAACACTCGAGATCAACCTTTCAACCAACAAGAACAATCCAAGACACAAGACAGACAGGTAGAGACACAGAATAAAGCATCAAAAGACGCTCATCGGAACATTTCGAAACCGACAGATGGTAGCGAGAATATGCTCGTAGGACCGAGTCAAGTTGAAATCTTTAATCGGTTTCACGAGGGACTATGGATCACGGGCCAGCCAGTGATCCGTGCTCGCCCTTGCGACGTAATGGCTTCCACCTGGATCAACTCTGACACTTTCAAACCAACAGGAAGAGACGGAGGGGTGACAGTGGCGAGTGTGACCAATACGACTCCACAAGAGGTTGCTCCCACATTGATTAAGACGCATCTCTACGCTGCCAACACATACGACACTCTTATTTTACAGTCTCAAATTCATTGACGCGCAGTTCCATAATGGCCTCATGCATGTATATATATAAAAAGGCAAGAAATGCAACATTGTCATTTGAGATGACGTGTAGCATCCGAACGAGCAGAGTAGATAAATAACCTTTTTATTTGGTTGGAACAAAGGAAAAAGGAAGGGTTTGATTCAGCATGTATGGAAGGAAGGACCGGACTGTCTTAGCAGAAGCTAACAACAAAACAAGAATATGCTAAATGACAGCACTTAGCCTACAAATAACAGCAACAGTGGAAGTAAGACGGGTCATGATGCGGCTCGACCTTAAAGAATCAATCCCAATGCAGGCGACTCATGTCGGACCCAACTCCATAGAGAACAAGGAATTCAGACGCTTTAAGCAGAATCCTTGCCACTTTCCTCTATAAGCCACATCTTTTTCTGTATCACGAATACCATCTCCCCATCTTCTGAATCTGAATTGGGTTCCGCATCCTCAACCGCCACCGATTCCCAGTGCAATGCTGCTAAATGCCTCTTAATGAAGTCTATGACTGGCTTCCTGTCTCGGACAATCATGAAACCAGTTGGCCTTAGAATGCGGTCCATCTCAATAAGCAGGTCCTGAGCACTGCACCCTTTCTTCTCTATGTCAGAAAAGACGGTCCAGGCATGAAGGAGATCATAGGTTCGTGGGTACGTCGAGAATGCCTCACACCTGTCAATTGTTTGGTGATGATAAGTAAAAGAACAAACCAAGTGATTTTGCATAAAAATTATAGCATTTCACCAAGGTTCCGCTGCCTTGGTCAGAACATCTAAGCATACTATGACGATTAGTCCTAAAAGTATTCTGGATGACTACAAACTACTCAATGTTGCGCAAGCGCTTCCACAAGGTGGTGAGGCCAGTCCCCAAAGGAAACAGCAATGAGGGCTTGAAGAGGCAAAAAGTACCAAGTCCATGAATTTAACAATTGCATGACCTAGAATCAGTTCTCGCTACATTCAGCAAGAAAAAAATAATGAATAAAAAAAGTACCTCAATGTACAAGGGAAAACCAATGACATGGACTTGCAACATAAGGAGCTAATGTAATTGGCAACCTAAATAAATGGCAGAATATCTCAATTGGTTTAGAACTAACATGGAATATCATCACATAAGAACCAAATTTCAGACAGTCATTAGAGATGCCCCTAGCTTTGCATTGGCTGGGGAAAATATGGGACTTAAAATAATAGTAAAACAATTATACATTTTCTTAGCTTCCCAACAAAAAGTAATAGAAGAAAGAGGGAAGAAACTTGTGACATGATCAGATTTACAGGTATGTCATATTTAGTTCATATTTTCACATCAAACTATGGCAGAAAAGGATTCAATCAATTTATAGACCATTCTGAGGTTATACAAGCATGGAGAAAGACACATGGAAATTTTCAGTTGCTTGAAGGAAAACCAAGACAAATGACTTGGAAGTTATCCACAGTTGGAAGTTATCCACAGTTGGAAGTCTGGCAGTTTCAAAGAAGATATTCTGAAACTTAAAGGTCTAAAGAAACTATTTTGCTCAGTTTTAAGAAGCCATTCCTTCAATTTTGATACTTGCAAACATGTATCACATGCCTATCCAGTAGCTAGGAGAGAAAAAACCAAGCAGAAAAACATGTCTATGAATGTTTAGGAAAGATAGGTATAGAAAAATTATGCAACCAGTTAAATGCGAGTCTTTACTAATTAGTTACAGTACCTACAAACCAAACTCCCATTTCATATAATAAATAAATATAAAGCTCACCAGTCATGCACACTGCCTATAAGGCCTCTGTCATATATTATCTTGAGAGTGTTCGGACCATCTTCTGGTACAACATTCATAACCCAAACAGGCTCATCTTTGAGAGCAGCAGCAAATGATCCCATGTTTGCCTTCATATCCATCACATTTCTCAGTGTATTCGGCCGAATTTTTGTACCCAAAAGGCTCCAATAGTTATCAACCCTCAGCCGCCAAATTTCCTGCAAATCATATGCGTTCAGAAAACAATATTTATTGCTACGAGGATCAGTTATGTGTCACCATCTTCATGATTGTAGTCGCACCTAGAAGCAATATCAAATTGCAAGCACTAAGAATTGCATGTTACAAATGATACACGTTATTTACCATATCCTTCTCAAACATGTCTGTTGAAATACCAAAATCAGCAAGGCGTGGAGGTGGGGTAGTTAGGCGAGATGGCCAAGGAGCTAATCCACTTCCCTCATCTCTTTGGTTCTCTGCAAAAGTGAAACTCTCGTTACCAAATTTACTTCAGGAACTTTCAATGTAATTGACTATGTACTAATAGCTACATTACATCATTTTTTTTATCCTATAGTAATCACAGTTATTTCATGAATATAGCAAAGCAATGATGATCAAGAAATTTATGCCCACGAGTATGACTATTCTACCAATCTTTATTGGTTAGCAAGTAAATTATCGTTAGATCTGGTGTGAAGATGACAGCAGCTTTCCTTATATATTCACCATGTCATACTAAAATAGGCTAATAATTTTATTGGGACTCTAGAATATCCATTAGGCAAAATGGGAAAACATTTGTTAGGCACCACTATATGGGTGATTTAAGAATCAACAAAGCCTCAATACACTGTTAATTTGACGAATAATCTCAGACAGCATAGGCTAAATTACATCACATCTTTGCTAAAGAAAAGAATTAGAGACTTCTGGACTTCTGGTCATCATCTTTAAAATCTTTTGGCTCAAGTGTAACATGACATAATTGGTTTCTAATTAAGTTATTCTTTTGAATCTTCGAGTCCAATGGTAGGGCCATATTTGTTGTTATGTTTAAATCAACATTGTCAAGTATTCCGGAGAAAGATCTCATTAAGAATACTTTGGTTAACTGAAGTCTTCAAAGAGTAGCATGCAAAAAACTCAAATGGTAAGAAGCTCAGAAAGCCTCAAGGAAAAGAAAATCATGTTGAGGATAGAAAAATGAAGATCACCACAAAAGCTGAGCACTCACGTTCAGAGTAAGGGGTAATACAAGCCTCCATTGGAACACCCCAAACTGCATCCGGATCATCATCAGATCTGCATAGAGGTGGTCGTGTTCCTGGCTCCCTCTTCAAGTAACAATCATTTGTCAAAGGTTTCACCCATATCACAGTTTGGTTCTTTTTGGCAGCAATCTTCCAACACATCCGCTCAACTAGAGCACTCATCTCCTTCCATATCCTGAGGTCTTCTTCATCTTGTGCATATGCTTCAGGAGATGAGTAGGCAAAATAGCCTCCTGGTCTAAGCAGCCTATCTAACTCAAGAAGAAGGATCCCATCTCTCTGAAGCCAATCAATTCTACATCGAGAACAATGTGCAAATTCAAAAGATCTGCTTGGGTAAGGGAGCCTCTTTGTCCCTAGTACACCAAGGTAAGCAGGAATTCCTCTCTCTAGAGCAAACTGGATCTGATTTTGATGAACATCATTAGGTGCTAAAGACATAGATATGATATCAGATGACAAAAGATATCCTCCAAAGCTGGCAACGCCACAACCAACATCAAAAACTGTCCGGATCCTTCCCTCATTGTTCAAATTATTATTGGTGAAGTTAAGCATCTGTTGATCCAAATGAAGAATGAGTTCCAAAGTTACCGAAAAATCAAAGAACCAATAAAATAACAAATGTGAAGACAATAGAATATATCAAGAAAGAGTTAATTTCAGAAGTCCATAACTATTTCAAGAATGATAACAGCAACTAAATGTATAAAAAAGATAAAATTTTGCATGATATGACCAGCACGTGAAAATCAGACTCACATTTGCAAGATGTGCAATATACTTATCAGCTCCATAATGAAAATGAGTGCCACCTCCAGGAAAAACAATCTTGTCTCCCTTGACAACCATCCAGTTCTGGTCAGACTTCTCATGTGCAAGGTGTGTATGAGGAATATTCACTTGCCAAACTTCATCTCGGCTTTTTGGCCACTTCATTGGAACCTATAGCATAATAATCACAAAACACTCATTAATTGCCCAAGAGAACATAAAACAGTAGCATTAAGCAGAAGATGATGAAAAGGATGTGCCCAAGGGCATCTTTTGCAGCAATTATTCCTCGTCCAACCTTGTATCCAGGTGGAGGTGGAATCAAACAGTTGTAACGCCTCTCAGGCTGTGGACAATGTCTCTCGTAATGTTCCATTAGAGCTAGATCCAGCTTCAGTCTTGTCTGGTAAATAAGATTTCTGTCTAGGCAGGGAATGAGCTCCGAATGCCGATCATCACAGACCTTAGGGAAAACAGAACAAATAAACTAAAGCTTGTACAATCACCGGTGCTCATAAAGAGATATAGCTAGTTCAGAATTCACTTACAGGAAAACTTTTGGGTACGAGACCATCCTCTCCACCCTCCTGACCAAGAATGGACTCTTTTGATTCACCTACCTCTCCGTTATCAACGCTAGACCAACCAAATGATCTTGAAATTCTACTACCATACTCCAATGCGGAGTTAGCATGCTGCCCACGGGGGCCAAAGAAAGAGCCATAGTACAGAACCAGAAAACCTATAAAGAGGACCACAACACACAATGATGGGACCAAGTGTTTCTTTTGGCCTCCATCTCTTCCCCTCATCTTTTGGAATAGAGTTCTAGCAGAGGACGTTCTATTAAAACTCTCAATAGACTTTATAATGACACCCCTCAATCCACGTAATCAAACATATTGAACCCCTACAACAAGCTATGAACAGGGTGGTGAACCTTCAAAGTCTCTGATATGTTTCTTTCCTGCCAAACACTAAATTGCTGAGGTGGAATGACAATACCTACAAGTTCTGATCTGACTGTTCCAACTCAAAGCAAACGACCTGCAAGAACCAGATGTTTATACTTGATTCATTATCAGCATTTTATTTTTTGAATGTATACGAGAAAAGATGTAACCAAAATTCATATGTTCTTCTTCATGTGAATATGACGATATGTGCAAGCTCAAGGAGTATCTATAAGAGTGGAGAGCAAAAAAAGAAAAGATGAAGAGACTGATCATTTATGCAAACACAGAAGGTGGGAAAGATGGAATTTATGCAACTAAGCTTCAGTTTACAATGGAAGATGTCGAAGAAAGGTACAGATTCTGGGAAAAAATTTCTAAGACCAAGCGCCGAAACGAGCGACAATCGCAGCCAAGTTATCACAAATTAGAACCTTCTTGCTATATGTGGCAGAGAGCATCGGGGGTCTCTTTGTAAAAGATTCAGAAACATCACGCAAGCAATAATAAATCCACTAGCAAAAAGAGATTGGCTAATCCACGATACTAAGCCCCGCGGTACTTAAATCACCGACAGAAGAGGAATGGAGATACAATTACGGAAATTTTTCTGGGGATAAATCTCTACAGTTCTCGACTTGGTAAAAGAATCAACAACGCCACCAACCACGGAGAAGATCCGACGACGATCTAAGAAAAATCAAGAAAGGCAACATGCAATTAAGACCAGAGAGCAGAGCACCTGATCCAGGGAAGCAATATAAAGAACGCAAGAAACCCTTGAAACGGATCCAACTTCGTCGAGAGGATCCCAGCAGAAAAATCTCTGTTCGCACCCTAAAACGCAAGCCGATCCAGATGTAGGAGTACTCACCTGGAATCTGAGATCGGAAAAACCCTGCGAGGGATCTCCAAAAGAACGGATCGAAACGGGCTTTTGCTAGGAGGGGGAAAAGAGAAAGAGAGAGAGTGGGCGAGTGGAGTGAGGGAGGAGAAGCAGATCTGAGAGGTTTGGAGAGCGATGGGAGATATATATTATTTCTGGTGAATGTTACGATAAATTACTCGCAACGGCGACGACATAGATTGGTGAGGGTCGAAGTATGTAAATATAAGAACATTTGGATGATGGAGATCAAATCAGATGGGTCGCTGCTATATTTGGGTATGTCGGCAACTCGCTTGTACATTGACAAGCATTGAGATGAGAGGGATGATGATGGCGAGTGCGAATCGCGTCGTGAACCGATCGATCTGCACTGTCAGCAGGCGACGAAGATGAGAGACTATTATTGGCTGGTTGGCACTATGAGTAGGGCCCACACGGACTTGGAGAGAGATAGAGAGGTCAAAGGAGTGATTAAATGACGCATTTGCCCTCCGTCGCACCACCCGCACGGATCTATTCTCTATGGCTGTTGGAGACGGATGGAAGGTATAGCGAGTCTGCACGGTCACCGAGGAGATCAGAAGGGCGAAATCTTACGATGCAAATTGAAGGCTACATCAGAAACAGGTCGGATTGCTCGTTACCATCGAAGGATCGAGGAAGAAGATGTGGGTAGCACTCATGACTACGTTCCATGGGTAGTAAGGAGTTCTCGTTACACTGAAGTCTGTCATAAATACTGAATAAAATGAACTATTGTTTTATGCACTTACTAAAAAATATCCTGTTCACAACCCAAAACAAACATACATTGCGCATTTACTGTTTTTTCAATATATATATATATATATATATAGCAAACATAATCTTATAACATAATATATGAAAAATAAAATATAAAATTTTATATTAAAATATTTTAAAATACTATATATAAAAAACATAATAAATTTATGAATTTTTATATGTCATATCATAATATATGTATGTACTTCCATACGACACATCATTGTAATATATACGTGCACTCCTATATCATATGTCATAGTATATACATAGTCTCATATTATATATTATTATATATATATATATATGTTTATTATAAAAACATAATCTTATACTTAAAGCCGCTAATACACTTAAGCTTCTTACACGGAAGAACTATACATTTTTTATTATAAAATATATTTAAAATAAATATTAATTCTTATATATGCTCAACAAATATTTCGTAGAATATTGAGAACAATATTTTTAGAAAGTATGTACTTCAACTTTAAATATTGAAAATATGAACATATCATTTATCATATTTATAAAATATATACATCATAAATCATATCACTTTCTCTTCACTTATAAAACATCAATCAAATGATAGTTATCAAGGTGAGACCTCATTCGTCCTCACTTTCCCTTATTGTACTAGGATATCTAACATGAGTAGCAAGTTGAAAACCACATCCAATATCGATCTTTGTATAGATCTACCTCATTTCTAACTCTCCGAGGTGTATTAGATTGATTGGTCTTCCAGGTCACCACCAATATTTTCCTCATATAGGTCACATCATAATATATTGAATTTTTACCATTATTGAGCTGACTGAGAGGCACTGACATGAAATGTGATGATAAATTGAGTTAGCAAACGAAAAAAAAAAAAAGTCATACAGTAGAAAGCGAAAAAGCTAGTTTGAACCAACGCATGCAAAAAATATTTTGTGCAGGAGAATTCTGTGCAAAATCACTCATCACGCTTAGATGAGAATTTACTCATGTAGGGGCTAAAATTACATTAAAAAATACCTCTGTAAACCACCAGTAATGGATAAGTGGCCCAATACTTGCTTATAGTACATGCCTTGATCTATACCTGTAATCCTGTTACATAGTTTGTGTTGATTTGACTCACTTTAGGTAAAACTACTTGTGAGGGTGGAGAATTTAGCCCAAGTGGGAGTGTATTCTCTAACGAACCAAATGGAACATGATCTGGTTTCTGGACTGCTTTCTTGACGGGACGCAAGCAGGCAACACGACCATTCAGCTGATTATTGCAGATGGGCAATTCGTTCACTCGAGTACGTGCTTCCTTTTCCTTAGCTACCGGAGCTCCTGAGGGATCCTGTTACATCCACCGAAAACGATATCATCAAGGCATGCACAATTGGCTTCATGGTCTGCAGAAGATAACTTCGTTCAAGTATATTTGGAACATGGAAAGTCATATTACCAATCGAAGCTCATAAGGAAGTGCGCTGCACTAATCACAATTACTCAAAACCAAGTAACAAAAGGAAAACAAAGTACTGTACCTACCCCAAGCAAAAGAAATGTGAATTTTTTGTTGTCTTCCTCGAGATTTATATCGATGAGTTTGCGCAAATCAGCAAGAGTTGAGTCCCTCAACACCTTAAGCTTCCTGATCAGACTGCCTGAAATTTCCTTCGAGGCCTCCCATTTTACATATATGTTCACAATGTCATCTGCATCCACCTTTCCAGGGCTGCAATTCTCCATCAAATCTTTTGGTGGTTCAGAAGAAACACATCTTTTGAGTCGTTGATCAGCTGATTTTTGCTCATCTCCGAGTTCAAGCGATGCAAATGTAACAAGCAGTGTGGAAACTGCACTTTCTGTAACTATTGATTCGGAGAGCAACTTGCCTTGAGGTGCGAGCTGAGATTGTTCCAGTCGCAAGCCTAACTTTGATTCATACTCTTCGCCAAGCATCAAAGAAGAAGGTCGTCTATTTTCATCTTGATTACCTCTCTTGAGAGGAGAGGAAACTTTCACCTGTTGTGATAGCTCTCTGTGGTTTCCACAGAGTCTGAAAATATTCTGGACACATGTTCTTCTAGCAGAGATGGCATCTATTGTATTTTTGATAGAGTTGATTTCTGCTCCTACCTGCTTTTTCTTTGAATCACTACCACACCCATCATGGTCATCGTTCAACCCAGAATCTTCAAACGGCATCAAGCAACCAATCCCGCGTGCATGGCTCATGTTCTCTTCGACTACTTCCTTATCAACCTCGTCTTCGGTGCTTTCTATGTCTTCTTCATCTCCCTCAAAAACAGTGCTCAAACTCACCTTCTCTGGGAATCTAAGCACACTGGAGTCAGCATCCTCTTCAAAATCTGAAAGGCAAGCATCCAGTGGGGACTGTTTCGGATAGCTTATAATATGCCGGTAGGAGTCCTCTCTGATCTCCTTTACATCATAACTGTCCTGTTGATCTCCCATGTCCAAATCCATAGATTTCACCATACCTGGGTCTCCTGCATAAGTTTCTAGCCGCTTCATAAATCTTCCTCCGTCCATGTCATGCAATGTATCCTCACCGGCTTTTCCTCTTCCAAGTTCCACTTCCTCGAGTCTCCGCTTTAGCATAGTAAGCTCCGCTTGCTGTTGTAACATTATCTCTTCCATCTTCATCAATTCAAGTTTTAAAGTCTTGGTTCTTTCGTCAACCGTCAAGTTGATCTCTGCCTCCTCGACTTCTGATTCCCTTTCTTCAATGAGTTGGAGCCTTGCTCCGAGTTTTGCAAGTTCCGCATCTTTCTGCAAGAGCTCTTTGCGAGCATCATCACACTCTTTCTCTTTAAGCTTGTTCTCCATTTGAAGTTTATACATGACCTGGTTCATTGCTACAATTCTCGACTTGAGGAGTAGCGAGGATTCCTCAGGATCAACTTTCTCCTTGGGTGTTGGCATACGAGTAACACGGATGATGCATTTTGCTTTAGCTCCGTACTCGAGAGTAGAAATGGTTTTGTGGGTTTCCTTGGGATCAGGGCTTGCGCACAGAATCATCAAAATCTTTGATTTGTCATCCTCAAAGGAATCCTGAGAAAATGAAAACAAAAAGGCAAGAATTTCTTGATCACTGTTCATTTCTATACTGAAAGAAATCGTCGAATAAGATTGCAATCGGTAAGATCATATGAATGAATACCTGTAAAAGCATTGTGAGCTTGCTATCCCTGAACGGAACATGAGAATCACCATTTGCAATGGATTCGACCACCCTTTTAAGAGCAATATTCCCTTGGTTTATTTTAGCTGTCTGCCAATGATTCACCATCACTCAAGTCAAAATATCTGATTCATGAACATATCATAAATTTAACAGCAGAAACAATGCCACAAGAATCCATAGAAAAACACTTTGCAGAAACAGATGTATAATTCAACACGAGTTCACTTACTCAAAATTGGACCAAGTTTTTAAAGCAATAATGATAGAAATCGACATGATTAGCAAGAAAATACATTTTTGCATGTCAGATTATACATGCATAGAAACATTTACAAAAGGAGTGACTCATATAGATACATGTATGAAAAGATCTGCCAACAGCTAAGCAGTCATGTTAAATACAGTCAAGGGTACTAAATATAACAAGAGGTGAATTTGTGAATAGAGAATGATACCTGCATTTTTGCTTCAAGACCAGTTTGACCAGCTGCTTCTATGTTTTCAGAACCAGCCATGTCAACAAGCATCAGCCTTCCTCCCACAGAAGGAACATCTAAGATTATCTGCATATTGGTTGAGAAATAATAATAGCAAGCTAAACTTCCAAAATTCAATGAGTCCAGTGGTTCTGAAGAACAATTATTAGAATTAGAAGATGAGAACAAAAACTAAATTGGTAGTGAATATACCATGCAGTGGCTCCGTGAGCTTCTTTCATTGCAACGAGTGCTCTTGACAATCCGCCGCTTTTCAACTTTGGCAACTTCCCTTGTAATCTTTCCAGCCTCATTTCCAGATATGTACCTTGCATTTTTGACCCTTTTACCTAGCACCTCCAGCCGAACCTGTTAAGCACAGGAAAATGAGTAGAATTAATCTCTGGAATACGTGTACAGGCAAGAATGTTGGAGCTACAGAAAGATTCATCGATTAGGTGAAACTGTATGGAGAACACCACAAGCAGGGCTTCTTCCTTCAAAAGGATGGCAGAAAGAATTCAAGCTGGACGATTTGGTTCAGAAAGTTCATCGAATAAATGCAAAAAGCAGCAAACGAATCGAACCTTGGGCGTGCTATTGCCTTTGGGAAGGCCGACGGTGTGTCCCGCTCCCCCAATGGATGCCCCCGAAAGAAGATCGTAGATCTCCTCGTTGTAAATCTCCAAGACCGCGACATGGACGAAAAACCCAGGACCGAAACCGCCGTCCTCGTCGTCGTTGGCAGAGGCGGCGGCGCCAGTGGAGCTGCCATCGGAACCATCCCTTCCTTCTCCTAAGATGTCCCTGAGGGCCCTGTACACGATCCCGGGCTGCTTGGGGCAGCCGAACGTGGCGTGGCTCTTGCCGGACCCGGTAGGCCCGTACATGATGATGGTGCACTTGGCGCCCAGGCGGACGCCCTCCACCCTGGACGCCACGAAGCGGCGGTAGAAGGCCTCGAGATCCTCGTGCTCGGACATGGAAACCCCATCGAGGGTGAAGTCGCGGTAGCCGACGTCGGCGCGGACGCGGAGGGAGCGGCCGTCGCCGGAGATCTCAAGGACGGAGCAGGCGGCGGGCCCATCCTCGTCCTTGCGAAGGTCGGCGGGCAGGTTGCGGATCAGGCCGATGACTTCGACGGGGTGGTCGGTGGCGGCGGGGGCCTTGGGGTTGGGGCTGGGGAAGTGAAGCCGGTGCTTGGAGTGGTGAGGAGTGGGAGTGGCCTTGGAGTGGTGGTGAGGGGTAGTGGGAGCGCTTCGTGGAGACGGCGTGGGAGGAGCCATCGGAGTGCGACGGTGGGATGTGGATCGAGATGGTGGTGGTGGTGTTATCGGGCAAGAAGAGAGGAGAAGGGAAACAGAACGGTTTAATGGGTTCCCTTACGAAACGGAGGGGATGATGGACGTTTCGTAAGCAGGAGAGAGGGAGCGTCGTCTTACGGCCACACCGAGCAACGGCTATTTTCTCTGCCTTGGGATCATATGCCAATCATTATTCTGTGATGCGCTCCACACCGTCCATCAGCGATGTATTCGCCGTGTAGGCATCCTACGAGGCGTCCATTCGTGTACAAACCCATATTTAATTTTAATTTTTTGGAAAATAAAAAGCAATTTATTCAACTAAAGGAAATATTTTATGGTATAATCAATGATTAATGATACATACACTTGGCATCAGTTGAGAGGGTTGTCGCTCGTAGTAATAACGGAGATGAATCCTATAGCTGCACAAGAATTCGAGTTATCATAAGATCCATTACACCCCGAGATATCATAAACTTGATGAATATAAAGATTAACCTTAATACTCTTAGGTTTTTGCGTCTTATTAACCAAGGCAAGTATTCGATCCATATTTACGTACCAGTATATAAAGTTAGGTCAAATTGGACACAAAGTAGTTTTTTGTTGATCCAAATATAGTTTCATTTGACGTTCAAGGATTTCATATATATTTTTCTTGATCCTACGGAATTATTTGTTTTGCTCCCACACTTAACTTAGATTGATCGATGATCTTTTTTTAGTCAAGGCTATCATATTATGTTATAAATTTAGTAAACTTGAAGCAAAAAAAGAAAATATACAAGGATCATTATTTCTTTTTGCGTAAGGGGTTCTTTACTTGAGGAGTTTAGATCCTTTTGATATATTATTTTTTTTTACTTGATGGAAGAAGAAAATAATTTTTTATTTAATAAAATAAAAAATATGTATAAGAAGAAAACAAAAGATTCAAACCATCCGAAGTCACTCAAAAATTTTAAATTATTATTATTATTATTATTTTAAAGACGAAAGTGAACTTTTTTTAAGCCGAAAACAATAACATGCTACCCGGGACAAATTCTAATGAGTGGTGCAATGTCAAAAAAAAAAAAAAAGTCATATGAATTTAAAACTACTGTAATGATAAAATAAACAAAAAAATGACGATCAATTATTCTTGACATCAATGATTCATCGTCACTAATATGATGGTTGTTAGTGTAAACAACCTTAAGCCGGGGTCTCGGGGCCGACATGGCTGGATTCGGGTCCGAATGATTAGGGATCTTCCCGGGATGACCCTTGAGACTGTTGAGGTGGCCGACTGTGGTGGTCCGATCGCGACGGGATAGTCGTTTTCTCTGGGAGGGAACTCCTTGCCTGGGCACGTTGTAGGAGGCGCTCCGTCTTCGTCCCTGCACACAGGTCGGGTCGGGAGGATCGACCCGACCCGACCCCTCCGACGATCAAGTAAGTGGATAATCTTATGGGGCTTTTTTTTCCCTCCCGCTCCTAACCGAACGTGAGGGTTTTTATAGGGAAGTTTTATTGTTGTCTGATGTGCCCGCTTGCAGGGAACAGGATCATACTCCTAGTAACGTCTGACACCGGTGTTGGTGTGGCGTGAAGGACCGGACTCGCGTAGAATGTTAATGTGCCTCGGTCGGTGTTCCAGTCTGTTTTGGCCAAGCGCTGTCAGGTCAATCGAGGCGCGAGACGTCATCCAGGCACAGCTGACATTAACCCGCATCCCATCGCTGTTATCACTATCAGTGGTAAAACTATATGTTTAAACTTATCGTCCAATGTGATTTATTTGACTTTATTGAAGTAATTACAATAATGAATCACTTATTGGTTGCAACATCAATATTTTTTTTCTTTTTAAAAATAAAAAATAAAAATCGTTGTCTTGAGAGATTATCTCTGAAATTCAAACTCAATGTTTCTTTCGGTGTAAAAAATAAAAATAAAAATAATTAAGTGTATATTTACTTTATATTAAAATGCTCGTGTTCTCATTTCGTTACCAACCAACGAAATCAGTCTCACTCGAATGAATGATCAAAGCCGTCCATCTTTCAGACCCACACCGTTCTTTCCCATCTCCGAACCGTAAGTATTCACATGGATCATCCAAGGCCGTCCACGTGCTTATTCCATCAAAGCCGTGCCGTTGGATGGAGCTAACTTTGTGCTGCTGCTTTCCTTCTTTTAATTCTTCCTAGCCTCCCCGCTCGATCCTCTTTCCATTTCGAATTCAAATCGGCACGGCCTTCCTTTGTCCTTTCCCTTCTCTCCTCCCTCCCTTCTCTCTTTCTTTCCTTCTCACCTCCAACTCGGTTTCTCTTCTCCCGTCACGTTCACCCCTTGCTAAACCTTATCGCCATTCCTGCCGTTGACGGGAGATGTCGTCGCGGATCAAGGAGAGATGCGGCGGCGGAGGGAAGATTCCGGCGTCCAAGCCCCAAAATCTCCCCTTCCATTCCACCCCCAAGGACAAAGCTGGCCCCGCCGCCCGTAGGACCCCAATCGCTGCCGGCAAGGAGAACCTTAGGACCCTCTCCGGCGGGAAGATATCTTCCATCCGGCCCACTCCTGTGCCCAGGCTCGTCGAGAAGCCGGCAGCGGCTGTCGGCGTCCGGTGGTCCACGTCGTCTCTGCCGAGAGGTAAGGCTGTCAATCCTTCTGATCTCTCGAGGTTGGTTTCCGATTTCCGTGGCAACCGCCGCCTTCCTAGGGTTTCCGCATCCGATCGGACGGCAGGAGATGTAGGCAGGGATCTGGAAGCCGAGGCCGGCCGATCGGGTGGGGTTAGGGATTCGGATGGTCGCCACCAGGGGAAGGGGGTTTTGGGCTCAAATTTGAAGAAAAATAACGAGAGACAGGCTACCAGGATCGCCGTCTCACAGCAGCAAAACCCTAAGCCTAATGGGTTTATCGGCTTGCCAGCGGCTAAGAAAGATGCAAAAGCTACGGTTGCTACCTCGGAGAAACTTGGTGGCAGAACTGCCGCCGGTGTGGCTTCAGAGAAACATAGCCGCAAAGAGGTAGCCGCTATAAAGCTATTGGTAGCAGACGGTGGTGATGATTGTGCCAAAGAGAAAGGAACAACTGCAGAACAGAAAAAGGAAACCAATTTGTTGGCGCACAAATCCGGAGTAGTGTGTTCCGATAGAGGCAAACATAAGGTATGGCTGGTATCATGTTCAACATCTACTGATGGCAAAACTGCAGAGAATGCTTCTGATCGAAATGGCTTGAAGGGCAGGAGTTGCACAGCATCTAATTCAAAAGCTCTAAATGATATTAACAAAGATACTGCCCCTGTTCTGTCGAACGACAAGAAGAAAGATTGCATAGTTGTACAATCACAGACTTCACAGGAGGCGGGTGGTGATGTTGACATTAAGAACGATCCTTCTGAGAAAAGGTGTATCGATTCAGTTCCAACAGTGAAGATTCCAGAAAAATCATCTGCAGATGTTACAGTCTTCGAGAAAGTAAAGGACTACATGAAAGGTGCTCCTGTAGCTAATAAGCAGCCAAGCAAGCTTCATGAGAAGCTGGCTCTGTTGGAAGGGAAAGTTCAGAAAATTGCTTCTGAAATCAAACGAACTAAGGAAATGTTGGATAGCAACAACCCAGATGAATCTAAGCTGATACTGTCTGATATCCAAAGCAAGATATCTGGGATTGAGAAAGCTGTAGGCTGCACAATTGATGGTACTATATGTCAATTTGGTCCATCGAAAATTATGAAAGGAGTCGATTGCCACAATAATCATAATGTGGTATCACGTCACTGTGAGGAAATAAGTGTTCCAGGTCATTTAGTTAATGATTCGATCGATGAAGGATTACAAGAAAGGCTCTTTCCTCATCACAAGTTACTAACGAACAGGAGATCATCTGGACGACTTGGAACAAATCATAATAGCAATCCAGATGTGGAAGATGGGCCAGGGAGTCCTATCGAAGCAAATCCCATTGCATTGGAGTTCTTGGCTTCTCTAAATTCTGTACAAGCGGAGCCTAGCAGAAGTGTCTCCATTGGTCATGTGGCAGTACGAGAGTTGGGGGTTGATAAGGGCTCATCAGATGAAAGGTATGTTTCAAGGAAGAAGGTCATTGAGCATTGCAAGGCTGGAATTGAACTCAATGAAAAACATGAAGAGTTTGAGGACCGAGAGAAGAAAACTGCAATGATGTTGCATGTAGATAATGAGGAGCCTTGTGTGAAGCATTTATGTGAGATTGGACAAAAACCATCGACTGGTGGATGGTTTGTCTCTGAAGGAGAAGCCATTCTTCTTGCCCACGATGAAGGATCCTGTTCCTACTATGACATAGCTAATAATGAGGTGAACTTTTGAACATTTAATCTACATTAGTATCTTTCTCAACTCTTCTTTAGGTTTTCTCTTTTTTTTGTTGGAGATGACAAATGTGCTGGACATATAACTTGCTTCATAATGACTTAATTATTAACATCCCATGTTTGCATTATAATAATAGTCTTCTGTCTATTGTTATACGGCAGCAATATGCAGTTTACAATTGTAACATTATATGTATCTCCTTTTCTGAGAGTAAAGAGGCTTGATATATTCATGAGTTATAGAACAATAATGAAACAAAGTACAGATTGAGATAGGTCGATACCTGGTAAAGGATGCAACAGCTTGAAAATTTGATCAAACAACCCAAATCTTGCCCTTATTCTAGGTTTATTCCATCAAGCACCTTCCTAAACAGTGTTTCCAGGTTGCAAAAATGCTTCCTAAAACATCTCTGATTGCATAATGCTCACATAACACTTTTGCTTTATCCTTGGTTGACAGCATCCTACAGCTAGCATCTTTTTATGTTTTTCAATGAAGATTTGAGTCCATAGGACCAAGAAGCATTAAAATTTACCCAGCTCTTGGTCTAAGGACACACCGATGAGATCATTGGTTGTTCCATCCTAATTACTTCGTAGATGCAGTATTGCTGTATGTTGCTTCTGTTCTTTGATATGATATACTCTGTATGCAGTCAATGAAAAACATCAACAAGTTCTTGGTTTAGTTTAATAATATGATGCTTACAAACTCAAACTAAAAACTCGTACTGCTGTCTACTAATTTACTTTAACATTCTCTGTTTTCAGTTCAAGGCTGTATACAATCCACCAGGAGTGACCCATAATATATGGGGTGATTGTTGGTTAATCCGTGCACCTGGTACAGATGGATGTTTTGGAAAATATGTTGTCGCTGCATCAGCTGGGAATGCTTTGGAATCTGGATTTTGTTCATGGGATTTTTATACAGGAGATGTGAAAGCATTTTCTCTTGGGGATGTGACAACTAATTCTTTCTCACCATCATCATCCAGGATTGTCCTTGGCTCGCTGAGCAATAGAGGTTTTAGCAGAAGTGCTTCATGTTCAATGCAGACTGTTGGACAACCACAGTGGTGGTACAGGCCCTGTGGACCACTCTTAATCTGCACTGGAAGTGGGCAAAAGGTTGTCAGTGCTTATGATATCCGCGATGGGGATCTAATAATGAAGTGGGAAGTCAAAAGCCCAGTGACGGGGATGGATTACTCGAGCCCTCTACAATGGCGAAGTAGGGGAAAGGTGGTCGTGGCAGGAAGTGAAGCCATTAGCCTTTGGGATGTAAATTCTCTTACCCCGCAGCCTCTGTTGTCTGTCACCTGTGCCGGTAAAAAGGTCCATTCCCTTCATGTCAACAACACTGATGCTGAATTGGGCTGCGGTGTTCGTCAGAGGTGAATTTCTAATTTCTAATGTTATTTTCAACATATATATATTTAGTGGTTTAATGCATTACATTTGTGTGTCTGTCTAAGGATGACCTGAACGCTGTCCACTTCTTGTTTTTGTTACATTTTGCCTCATTTTAGCATCTGCTGATTCTTGAATTAATCTGCAGAGCGAGTATATCCGAAATGGAGGGCAACGATGGTGTGTTCTGCATGCAAGAAAGTATCAACGTACTTGATTTCCGTGTCCCGGCAGGTGTTGGTCTAAAAATCTCTAGGCATGGAGGGATCGGACACTCAATTTTCTCTCGTGGAGATTCCATATTGGTTGGTAGCACAGAAGCAAGATTGGCCAAAGGCAGCCCACGGTCTCGTGTCCAACATTACTCCTTGCGTAAAGGAAAGCTTGTGACGACTTATGAATTGCCAGAATTCAATGCTCACTCACACTACTCTTCGTTAACTCAGGTATGGGGAAACACCAACGTCGTCATGGGCGTTTGCGGGATGGGACTTTTTGTGTTTGATGCGTTTCAGGATGAAAGATCCCAAGCTTTTTGCTTTGATCGGGGGAATACAGTAGGCGCGAAGGAAAGCATTGGCCCCGATGATCTATACTGCCCTACTTTTGATTACTGTGGATCCAGAGTTCTTGTCATATCAAGAGATCGCCCAGCTTTGTGGAGGTATTTATAATATTTATCAGAATTATCCTATATTTGTTCGATAAAACTCTTTGGTCTGTACTATTTAATGTTTGTTTTATCTCTAAGAACGTTTATTTATTTTTTTTCTTAATTATCAATTTAAAAGTTGAATCCCTGCTATTATCAATTATATCCTGACACTTTGTTCAGTTATCCTCGCATGCTATTGGTCATCTCGATCTAGGCTTGGTCTTGGTTCTAGAACTAATAATTTTTATTCTTAAATTTTAGGAATCAGAACTGGAATTGAGTTGACTGTGTGTGATTGGTTTTGGAATCAAATTGGTTGGAACCATGGGCTTTTTTTTATTTTAGTAAACAATAATTTAAAATAAAATTTATATATTTTCTTAGTTATAAATTATTGATTGGAATCGTCTGTTTTGATGATTTTGGTACTAAAAAATCAGGTATCGTAATCAAACTGTTTAGGTTTGATTTCGATTCTAACTTGATTAGAATCGATTAGATGAAGATTAAAAATAATTATGTGTTGGTATATTTCTTTGGGCTTTTTTTTGTTTCTTTTGATATGTCAACTTTGTTTGATGAATGTGTTTATAGTTCTGTCTAGTGAATTTTGGTTAAATTATGCAAAAAAAAATCATTGAATTAAATAATATTTTTTACTCGTGTAAAATTCAATCTCAATTGTACTCAACAATGCTTCTCTCCTATTAGATCTTTATAACCTAACTTTAGTTTTGTTCGGTTCATTTTAGGATGTGTTCTATAACTTCATCCACCAATAGTCTTTTCTTATTCGGTCCATATCATCATATTTAAATATTAGATAGATTTTGATATCAAATGTGATAATCTAGGTGTGATGATTTAATTGATATATTAACTTGATCTAAATCATTAATCAAAATATTTAAATTAAAATTGACAATAACATATTTATTATATCTTTATAAACCAATCATAGTTTTAGTCATACTGAATTTGAAATTAATCGAAATATTACAATATATATAGAAAGAAGGAGATAACGTAGGCCAACAACTTGTAGCGTTGGCCGCGAGTACACGTCTCGTGAGGGTGCACTTCGAATCCAGCCGCCATCACGTAGCACGCAGTGAAGTCAGCATGTGCCTTTGAAGTAGAATTTTGACTCTTGTGCAAGTTCAATCTCACATTGATCTTTTTTTGGTCAGGATGTTAAACGTGCTTCGAAAATTACGACTGTTTTCTCAAATCATGCTTTATTTCATCGAAGTTGATTGCTGCATTCGATGAGAAATCCTCTGTACTTCACTTTGTTGGAATGCCCGGAATTGCTTCAGGACCAAACCATCCGAATCCCTAAACCCTATTCCTCCTCAGTCATCCGAAACCAACTCACAGAAAGGTAGTGGGACGGTCTTCACAGCTCTGAACTTGCCAACATTGTTCAGGTGCTCATTCTCCAACCTTTACTTGTAAATAAGTTGAACCGAACCGATACAAACCACCACATTAGCTTTCTTGACGTGTGGATAGCAACAACTAAGGTGCGGGAATGGGTGACGAGACTGACCTGTAGAAGTTCCAATGCCCACGTCGGACGATCTCCAGCGAAGCCAGTAGGAAATCCAGCAATCGATGCTCCACCTGCCCCAGGCTTAGCGGCATCACGCTCCCGATCCAAGCAAGCCTAAGCACCGAGTTCAAACCCTGCAAGCCAGAAATCACATTCGATCTATAAGAGTTGGTTGCGACGACAGTTGGGTTCCAATTTAAATCGGAACTAAACCGGGTTGGGACAAAATCCCAATCAGATTGCTAATTCATCGGTTCTAAACCGAACCAGACCTGATTAGTTCAGTTAATGATTCTTGGTTTTTTGAAACCGAAATCGATGATTTATAATTAAAATATATATATATTTTTTTAATATTTTTAATTAAAAATAATAAAAAAAATCACTTTAATTTTTAATTAAAATTAAAATATATGGTTTTGGAATATATATATATTTTTTATATTCCAAAACCGGCCTTCTTCTTATATTATGTGGTTCTAGTTTTCAAAATCTAGGAACTGAAATCGGATCTACTTGAAGTGAGAAGTGAAATCGGAGAGATTTCACCCACCATGGAGGCGTAGTAGACGCATTTGTTCTTTAGAATGAGATCGTCTCTGAGGAGGAGATTCTTGGAGCTGAGGTCAAGTAGTCCCCAGTCTTTGACGAAGTCCCAGAAGAGCTGGTAGAAGGTGGCCCCCGTGGACGTGACGATGACGATGGCGAACCACAGGGGCGTGGCCTCCACCGCATACTTCAACCTGGCTGCAGCCGCCACCATGGCCGAGATGTACTTCCCGGCGTTCGCCAGGTGGTTGACGTCGCGCCCCTCCTCGATGTACCGCCTGACGCACTTGGAAACAGCAGGGCGACGCAAAGTTCAGCTACTCGGGTAGGCGCCGCAGAACAAACACATTGTGGGCATGTATATTTCTATATATATACACACATACCTGCATGGCACGCCAATAATAAGGAAGGAAGGAGATAACGTAGACCAACAGCTTGTACTGTTGGGCGCGAGTACACGTCTCGTAAGGGTGCACTTTGAATGCGGCCGCCATGAAGTAGCACGCAGTGAGTTCCATGTGCCTTAGCAGTGGAATCTGTCACGGATAGTTCACCATGAGCAAGTTCTTATTGCCGCAACTTTTGTCAGGTAGCTGTAACTCACCTGGCTGGTTAGCTGGTCGGCCATGAAGAAGTCGACCATCAGTACCTGAAATGATGGACCGTGTCATAAGCCATGTAGTTTGCTGGATTAAGGGAAACCGAGAAGAAGTGGGAAAAGGTGAGCATTTACTTTGTAGAAGGGCGACAACGCGATGTTGCGCATCACTCGGATGAAGCAATATCGCGTCGAGCGGTAGAAGACGTTGAATGGGCAGATGAGCAGGCCCGTGAATACCTGTAAGGAAACATAATGGAAATGCTTCGTATAAGGGTTGGAAAAGGATACACGAGGTGAAGAACTTGAGGATTTTTTATTCAGTACCAGCAGGAGAGCTCCGGGTATGGCATCAACGTGCTTCTGGGAAACCCCAGCAGATCGAAGGAGGAGGTGGACGACCAGAGCACCGACGACCGCGGTCATCAAGGAGGCGCTGATGAGGAAGGCATCCCGTCGCTTTAGAGCTGTGTTTGGCGAGAACTCGAATATGAAGTTGTGGTTTATTCTGGTGCCTCTCCACGCGAATATGTTGCAGCCATACAAGAATATGTGCAGGCTAAGGAGCGCAAACATGCTGCAGAGACCACATGATACATAATAGATTCAGTTGACCAAGCAGTTGACCGGAAACTCTTGCACGTAACTCTACAAGTGATGTCTCTACTCTCCAATAAATACTCTCTGGGAAAGCAAAGCAGATGTGCAAAGATGGAAGTCATGTATGAGGCATTAAAAAAGACCAAGAGAAGGGGAGCACCTGAAAACAGGGTACACGGTTTGCATATAACCGGCTTCACCATCGGTGGAAGAAAAGATGCCACAAAAATGAGCCAAGATTGCGTATACAGTGAATAGAGTCACAAAGCTGCCTGTGAAGAGACCTGCATGCAGCAGAAAAGACAACCCAAAGGCATCAGAGGAAGGAAACCAAAGTCCACGCTGCACGGCAGCAGACTGAAGACAAAAACATACACCGAGATCCCTGCTATCTATCTTTTTCTTCGAAGTAGATGCCAGCTTAGGCTACTTTCTTCTCCTTAATTTCCATGTCTTTAGGCTTGTTTTACCTGATGACACAATGCTTTGGCTACCATGCAATAGGTTTTTCTCTCCGGTACTCCATCGTATACTCAAAACATTCTTTGGGTGCCTTTGAATTTTTATATAATATGTTGAGGTGCTCTCCAAGGTTTCTTAAAAGATTGAAATAATAATAATAATAATTTCTTCATAATTTATATGAGAGGTGTAGAAAAAAAATATTATGTTTGAGTGACAATAACTCAAAGATATTATAATTGACTTTATATAAGATGAAAGTTGTTGAATCACATTAATCTTAAATATTCTAGTATACTCTTTAATTATTGATTTCTAGATTTTTTTTTAATTTTAAAATATTTTCTCTCTCTCTCTCTCTCTCTCTCCTTATATGAAATTATTTTTAATTAAAGAAAAAAACAACAACAACAGACCAGACGAGAACCAAAGCGACGTACCCGCGAAGAAGGTGATAGTGTGGGACTCCTTGGGCTGCTGAGGTCTCAGGAACTTCATGGCCTTTTTCCTGTCACTACCAGCAAAGTGTTTTGTGAATATGGATTCCACCTCGTCCACCAACTTCATCACCTGCACGAGACCCTGTTCATTATTCTTAAATAGAAAAAGAGATTCCAACACAAAACAAAGGACATATGGCCACGACAACGATTGTGATCTCCGTCAATGGATTTTCCACTATGGTCCCATTAATTGCAGGAGATTTCAGTAACCATGCCATGCCGAGAGAGACTTAAAAGTTTTAGGTCATCTACAAGACCGGGCTAATCTTTTATTGGTGCACACCTGTGGGCAACCGTGTTACTTCAATCATACTCCTTTTAGCCACTTAATTTGTTTTTATTGATCTTTCTTTTTGTTTTTCCTTGAGCAGATAAGGTGGTGGAGTCTACTCTTCTCCATATCCGAAGGCAACATCTACCCCTCCTTGGTTCCTCATGCATGGATGATTCTTAGATCATGGGACAAGCAGTGCTCATCCTACTAGGTGGTAAATTAGATCTTATTAACAACACATGGATAGGTTAGTCTGAGAAGCACAAAGAGTATGATAGCAGCTAAAGAGATGCCATAAATATAGCCATAAGAAAAGGGACGTGGGGATGGGATGTGATTGTTACCTTATCCGAGCTGATGAAGTGCGACCTCTTAACCTTGCTCGAGAACGCGGCCGATTCTTGCAGATGGTTCGACACCTTCAAAACAGAGCATGTCCCATCTCAATTAATACTTGGTAATGTCTCCACCACTTACTTAATGATCATGCAAGCTACAATATCACCATTCCCCAAATATATCTTTAATGAAGAAAAATATATGGTAGAGATCGAAGAGGAGTAAAAGTAGCTTCCTTCCTTCATCTTTTATAGGCATGGCCAACAAAACCTAA